CAGCTCAGGCCCCCCGGCTCAGCTGCAGGGCCCCCGGCTCAGCTCAGGCCCCTCGGCTCAGCTCACAGAGGTGCTCTGCCTTCAACTTCAGAGAACGCAGCAAGTGCCACACATCTGGCACCAGGCTTGCGGCCTGGTTCTTTGACAGCTAATACCTGGTCTATTTTTGGTCTCAAAACACCAGGGAGGAAACTGTCTTCCCTTGAGCGTCTTTCACACCAGGACAGCCGCCCTCTCTGCGGGGAGCAGGTTCCTGAGGTCCCCAGCTCAGCGCTTCCTTAGTGTTATCTCCGGGCGCCCACCGTCGCCGGGCCAGACTTTCCCAACTACTTCATGCTGAACGCCCTTATCCAGGCTTCAATTACCCACCTAATTCTCCTCCCAACAGCACAGTGAGGTCATAATAGTCTTTGTTAATATTCCAATTAAGTACTTATTGCTACTCCAATTTAATTAAAGACACGATCAAGCGAAAACACGCCAAACAATTCCAGAGCAGACCCAGGTCAGAGGGAACGCAGCTCCGGAGGCCTTACCGGCTCCGTGGCCGCACCCAGTGACGTGGCTGCCTTTGCCTCGGCCTCAGCCTCCTCCTTGGAGAGTAACTGATGGGGATACGCTCACCCGCTGGGAACAGCACCGACCCTCTAGGTCGCCTGTGTTTACCAAGCATTCACCGAAGGACAGACCCGCAACAGGGTTCGGTTCTGTCGGAGCCTCTGGAAATGCGAGGCCCTCGAGATGGCAAGGTCACGGCCTCTCCCGTCAGCAGGCCCCGCTGCGCGCACTGGGCCTGGGCCGCCGCGGGGCTGATGCGCACGGAGACTGGAAACATCCAATGCCAACAGGGAGGAGGGTCCGCAAGCTCTGGCATTTTCAACGTGAATAATTGCTCACGTTAGTAAGAGATTAGATGAGAAAGTACCTGGCATTTCAGAGCTCCTGCAAGGGCGGGGCACGGGAATCCTGGAAGCTTTCCCAGACTCAGCCACACCCTCCACCCCAGGTCCCCAGACCCACCACAGCCTGGCCTGGATTCTGGCGCAGGGCCTGCCGGTGGTGGAGGTGGGCTGGGGCAGGTCGGGTGTGAGAAGTAAAGAGAGATCAGGAGATACAAAATGCCTTTGCAAAGTATTATGCAAACATAAAATAGCACATCTTTCGCTGTAGCATCTGTGAAAAAGGCAACCACGCTACAGACTTGCTCTCCAGAACTTTCTATTGAGACGCAGCATTAATCCGGGACCAGGCCCTGGCTAACTGTTGTCTCAGGATTCCCGCGCTCAGCACTGGGTCCTGCCAATGCGGGGGGTCTGACCTGGCTGCCAGCCCGGGGTGCGGGGAGCAGCTCAGAAGCGCGCTGCGTCCGCATGGTGGAGAGAACAGTCGGGACGAGGGCACCTGGCTCCCCCTCCACTGAACCACGCCTCTCCTTAGGTTACACCATCTCAGCGGCGTGTGCTAAGTCCTGCAGGAGACAGTGCACAGCCCCCCATCATTCATGCAACCAAGTCTCTTGCCCGAGTCCCCACCCCCCGGGTGCTGGGGGACTTCTCCAGGCCGGCCTCATTATCTGCTGCTGAAAATTAACTTCCCAAACACATGGGCCTCTTTGGTGATGCAGCCCAGATGTGAGCATTTGAAAAGCTTGGCACTGAGTGAGCAAGCATTTAAATAGGAGACTAGGGACTTGGCGTGACCCCACCCCTGCCCCCAACCCCAACCCGGGGAGGGCAAGCGGAGGTAGCTCGGGTTGGTACCACCCAGCCGCACACAAAGCCAGAAGCTGGGCATCCTCCACCCCATTCTTCTGAGTACTTCCTGCTGTTTTTTCCTCTCTCTGGTCTTTCCTCTCTCCTCCCTCTTCCCCTTCTCTTTCCAAGTCACCTTTCTCTGCCCTGGGGCTGTAAGAGGTGCCCCTAAGCATAGACGACTGTGGCACTCCGGCCTGAGATGCCCCATGTTAGTGGGAGTTCTGGTAGGAAGCGGGGGGCTACCTTGCTTTCGGAGGAGCTGCACACGGCATCCTTGAAAGATGGTTGGGAACCTTTTCAGCGCCCCCTGCCTGGTTCTGGAACATTGGGCTTCTAGAAAGAGTTTAACTCAAGGAAGCATCATGACCATCATTGGGCTGAATATTTCTTTTGTCAAGCCTCACCCAAGGGCATTTTCCCATTGATTTCTAGAGAGTGGAAGGGAGGGGGAGAGACAGAGAGAGAGAAACACCGATGTGAGAGACACATTGATTGGTTGCCTCCTGCACATGCCCCGACCAGGGCTGGGGATTGAGCCTGCAACTGAGGTACGTGCTCTTGACCGGAATGGAACTCGGGACCCTTCAGCCTGTGGACAGACGCTCTATCCACTGAGCCAAACTGGCTAGGGGAGCCTGATTTTTTAAGAGAACAAATATATGGAATACAGCCCGACAGGTGAAGACCCTGGAGAATATGGAAGGCGCTGGCAGTGCCGCCAGGGAAGCGGAGCAGAGACCAGCAGGATCGCCATGACTGCATCACGGAGCCGGACGGAAAGAAGGGGCAGGATGTCCGCAGTGCTCATCGGGCTAGAAGCATGGTGGGAACGGCCTTCAGTCCTGCATGGGCTGCCCACTAGCAGTTTCTTACACGTGGGTGGCCGATATTGGTTTTATATTAGCTTTCATATTTTTAATTAGCTGCTGTTACTCTGTGACTTGCTTTTTAAGGAGATGCCAACATAGAAGAGTGACAGCAGCTGGACTGAATGTCTCACTGGCCCCCTCCCCCCCCACCCCCGTGGCTTGTCTCCTCAGGCTGGCGCCGGTGGGGGACGGGTGTCAGAGGTTAGGGTTAGCCTGTAAGGTAGCCCTCGGTAAACGCTAACTATGTGTCGGGTGTAAATAACCGAGACTGCCTCCACCACGCGGTCAGCGGGTGAAACATTCGTCATGGGATCCACTTGGGGTGTCGGGCTGTCTGGCTGGGGGCTGACCCATTCTTAGCACTGGGGGTGAGGATCACATTGTTCACCCTCGTTCCCCAGGCCTGCCCTCACCTCCCCATCCAGCCTACTCTCCTCCTGCCCCTCCCTGCCTCCTTCTGGGAGTGCTCCCTGCTTTCCTCTGCACCGAGGAGCAGGCTGGTTTGCCTTTTTGAAGGGAAGAAGCAGGCACTTGGAATCACCTGTGACCCTGACCCTTCGCCGTGGCCCCTCCTCTGGGGCAGGTCACAGCGAGGCGCCTCCCTGGGCCAGCAGCCCTTCCCAGAGCGAGCAGGCAGGTTCCTGCAGGCTCCCCGAGGGCCCCTTCTCCTGCTGTGCCTGGAAATGCGGACGGGCAGACGGGCGGACGGGCGGACGGACGTGGGGAAGTTTCTGGCAGGGGATTCTGAGACTGTGCTCCTCCCAGGGATGAAAGGGAACCGATGGGACTCGCAGCTCAGCAGCATGCAGGGAGCGGCACCCGCTCCAATTACACCGCGCTCAGCAGCATCACAGGGAGGCTCCGGCTGCAGGGCCTGCACAGCAATGGACAGGCCTCCCACACAGAGCGTGGGTCAGGATCTCACCGAAAGCACCTACGCAGGCGGCCGCAGGGGTGGCCACGATCACCCACGGGCTGAGTGACACCTGGAATGAGGCCTTTAAGTTTGCCCTCCCTGGATGCTGGTCGCAAACTCAACATGGTTAGAATGCGTCCACCTCCTGTCTGAGAGGCCACTCGGACATGGCAAAGCCTGGCACACAAAGAAACCACGCTCCGTGGGGAAGGAAAGCCGCCGCTGGTCAGAGCAGCTTTGTTCGCACTGTTTTCCTGGTCTGTTAAATGGGCACTTCCGTGGCATTTTGCTTCCTTGAAAGAAAGAACTTAGGAAAGATACCTGGAATTTCCGTTCTTGTTTTTATAACATTTTAAAGGAACTCCCAGCTAAGCCCACACCTCTGTCACAGTCCCTCGGGAGAGATAATAGCACAGCACGATCGCCAGCACTCGCCGGCGGCACAGCGGCCTCGCTGTGGACACAGAACAGCGGCTCCCTCCTGTGGGAGAGCCGAGCAGCTGGCCCACGGCCCCCGGGCCCGTCAGTGGGGCGGGGGTTCAAATCAGCATCCCCTCAGATCCACGTGCTGACTTTGACCACGATGAGCACACGCCACCGACGGAAATACCGGCCACCCACACGTGAGAGACTGCTAGTGGGCAGCCCGTGCCAAACGACCAGTGTTGGGCCTGTGAGACGCAGGTGTTGTCATCTGGCTGACAGGTCTGCCCCCTCCAAGCCATCTCTGCCACGTCATAGAGGTGGGTGCTGTTATCACTGAGGAGTGATGAGGTGAGCACCTGTCCCATCAGGAAAGGGGGAGCATGCGAATGGAGGAGCATGACAAGTAGGGACACAACCTCCCCACGCAAAGGCTCTTCTCAAGAAATGACACTTGTTACGTTGCATGAGATTCGTCTCCAAAACAGAGAAAGCCTGGGCTTGTTCTGAGACTGAAACTTCACCCGGGCTTCCCCAGCACAGAACCCCGGAGGGAGGCCACAGCTCGGGGAGGAAACAATCCTTCTGCCAGAAACGCCGAAACAAAGGCTTTATGTTCTGGTCTGGGAGAGTCCGTTTCCCTTGGCGAAGAGGCCCCAGAGCTCGTTTCCACTCCTGGTGGGTGTTGATGGGTGCCCTCGGGAGTTGGTCTCCCAGAGGACCGTCCAGAAATGCGAGGTCATGACCCTGGTCCCCTTGAGGGAGAGAGGGGACTGTGCATTCAGGGGCAGGTAACCGGATGCCGGCAGGAAGGTAGAAAGCAGCGGGCCCAGCGCCAGGAAGCAGTGGGAACGGGTGGGGACCTGCTCACTGGAACCCGGCAGCCGAGGGCCTGGGCCTCGGGGGCAAGGTGAGCCCAGGTTCTAGCACACAGATGTCCATTCAGAGCTGGATGAGCCACAGTTGATTTGGGCTCAGCCGCCCAGCTCCCTGCTCTGGTTCCTTAAATTCTCACAGACCAGCAAGGACGGTCTGGCTGACATGCCCTCCCCTGGGGCCTTCCTCCCTGCTACCTGGTGAGCTCATGCATTCTTTAAGGCTAGGCTCAACTGTCCCTCACTCCTCTGCGTTTCAGTTTGGCAGCTTCTCCCTCCCGAGCCACAGCTGAGTTCATCGCATCCCTCCCTGGGCCCCCCTTCACTGTGTCCGTGTTCTATGCATTGCACTGCTGCCTGGAAAGCATGCGTCATACTTGTTGGGAATATGGACTGGAAGTCTGTAGGCCTTAGAAGAATCATGGCCCCACCTACATGGCTTGGAGAAGGTGCTCAAAATGTCAGTTTTCTCATCTGTAAAATGGGTTTGCAATGAGCTGCCTGGTTGTCCTGAGCATTGAAGGAAATGCTGTGTGCAGAGTCCTGTGTGCTGTCCCTGGCACAGGGAGGCCTCTATGAACTTGGGGTCTTTGGTTGCCGGGAACAGGAACCCATGTGGCTAACTAAGAGAATTGAAGGAAAACCGAGCCAGCAGGCCGCAGAGAAGATAGGAATCTGGCAGGATCTAGCTTTGTGCACGTGACTCTTGCTGTAACCGGCGTTATTTATTTAAAACATAAATCGCAAATTCACCAAAAAAGTGTTGGAAACAAGGAAAAAAATTGAATGACTGGATTTTACATATTAAGAACATATTATGAACTTTGTTAATACGAAAATTCATTGAGGTTATGCTCTTAATACCAGCCTTCTTTGCTAGAGCTATATAGTGAAGAGATTAGAAGTGGAAGGAAAAAAGAATTAGGGAGAGTGAGGCGCGTTCTCCGTCTGACCTGAGACAGGCAGGGATGGCTGGGTCTGGGCGGCCTTCCACCTGAGACCTCCTGTGGCGCTAGGACCGGCCCTTCATGGGCGACTTCCAGGTCTCTCATCTGATGTCCTCCCCGGTCCTGGGTCTGCTCTGCGCAGTGAGAGCCACTGTGGGCGTGGGCGCTGGGGCTTCTGGCCTCTCTAAGGAGGGAGCCCAGCGGCTGGGGGCTGGCCGAGGGCCACCAGGAGGAGGGTCTATGGCGTCCCAGGGCCCCAAAGCCAGACCTCACCCTGCCAGTAGGCGCAGCTCTGAAACTCAGTTTCTGCATCTGTGAAGTGGGGGCACCGACAGGCACCTGCCGCCGGTGGAGGCTCCGGGCACCTGGCCGCCGCTGCGGGGCTGCGGGTTTCTCAGCGGGAGGATAGCAGCGCACTGAGGAAGCCAGAAGCCTCCATGCCCATCGCCACCTGGCCGGTCCTGGGCTGCAGGGAGCTGAGTGGCCGGGCATTGGCCTCCTGCTGGGCCCCCACCGTGACTCCTGCTCTGACCCGCCTCTGGCTGCAGCTGGGAGCCTTGGCCTCCCTTCGGCCTCCCCTCGGCCTCTGACCCGGCTGAGAGGCGGTGCTGGGTCCCTCCCCTCCGCCCTCTGACCCTCTGCCCTCTGACCCTCCGCCCTCTGACCCTTTGCCCTCTGACCCTCCGCCCTCTGACCCTCCATCTCTGACCCAGCTGAGAGGCGGGTCCGTAGGTCGTAGGTCGGTGTGTCCCGCCTCCCACCAGGGCCTCCGCTGGAGAGCAGGCTTTCTGGAACTTCTCCTGATGATTCTACATTAGAGGTGGAATTTTTCAGGTGATTTTACATCTCCGTGATAAAGTCTCCCATGGCCTTTTCATTTCTTAAACGTTTTGCCATTGTTGAAGAGTGGGGAGTGGAGCGGACCCCAACCTAAGAGCCTCACGGCCCCTCCTGCCCCAGAGCCCACCAGTGTCACTGTCTGGATTCTGACGACAGAAGTTGTGAAGGAGTCCCCTCCCCTCCCCAGGGGCTCTCAGCCCTCCTACCGGGGACCGGTGGCCACACAGACTGACCAGCGAAGGCCCAGGAAGCGGGAGGGGGATGGGGAGTGGGAGGGGTTGGGGGGGGACAGTGGGGCCCAAAGCTCCGATTTGCAGGAGAAAAGACCAAGGTCAAGTACTACTGAGAGTGTGGCTCCAGCCAAGGGAAGCCCAGCCTAGCAGAGAGACAGAGACGGGAAGATGGGGGAGGAGGGTGTCGCTGAAAGTCCTGCTTCTGGGTAGGCAGCCTGGCAGGTGTGGGCCTGCCCACCTCCGGTCTGAGAGCCACAGGCCTCAAGGTTCAGCTACACTGACCCACTCAGCCTGCTCTGCCTTCAGCCCGCAGCCCTCCCCGGCCTGATTTGAAGCTGCCCGGGGCATCCCGAGCTCCCAAATGAGTGTCGGAAAACAGCGCAGGCCCAGGGGGTTTGCAGCCGAGGCCACAGTGGGTTCACTGTAACTCATCCTCCGGCAGCAAAGCACCTGAGCGAGCGGATCCGCACGTGTGCACACATCACCCACCGGCAGCAGACTGAAGCTTTGGGGGGGCGGGGGGGGGCGGGATGAGCACCCTGGGTTTCTCAAAATCCTCTCTCTGCTTCGGGGAAATGGATGAGGACGTGAAGCCCGGCTGGGAGAAGGGGAGGGATCTGAAGAGACAAACTTGTTGCTGTCTTTCAGGTTTTACATCGAGAGCATCTCGTTCTTAAAGGACAGGACCACCGTGGAGCTGTTCTTCCTGAACGCCAAGTCCTGCGTGCACAAGGTAAGGCCCGCGTCCCCGGAGGCTCCAGGCAGACTGCGGGCGAGGGAGGCGTGGGCCGCCTCTGCTCTCCTGTCCAAGTGGGAAAGGCCATAGTCATTCCGTGGCTCTTCCTACCTTGCCCCCACCCCCAAATGGCAGCTCTTCTGAAATTCTGAGCGGGGAAGCCAGCCGCATGCTGAGGACGTTCACACATAGTCAGCTGCCCTCCGTGCACCTGCTGCACCAGGGGAAGGCCAGAGGCGCCATCAGATGGTGCCTGCAGCCTCCCAGAGTCAGGCCAGGAAGCTCTTCTAGCATAGTGTCCCCACGTTTAGCGTAATTCCCACCCAGGTTGTTCAGGGTCTCTGCTCAGAGTTAGGCACGGTGAGGCAGCGCTCAGGCTGTGGGAAACTACTCGGCCATAAAAAGGAAGAAAATGTTTCCCTTGGGACAGAGATGTCTGCTTTCCCCACTCTCATTCAACAAAGTTGGATACCTTTCCTGTCTATTTCTTGTCTCCAGTGGCTAGGAATTCCAGTGCTATGTTGAATAAGGGTGGTGAAAGCAGACATCCCTGTCTTGTTCCCAGTCTTAATGGAAACACTTTTAGTTTTGCCCGTTGTGTATGATGTTGACCTGGGTTTGTCATATAGAGCCTTTGTTATGTTGAGGTATATTCCTTCTACTCTCACTTGGCTGAGAGTTTTTATCACTTTAAATACAGCATCTATTTAATGCTGTATTTTATCAAATGCTTTTTCTGCCATCTATTGATAGCATCATGTGGTTTTTATATTTCATTTTGTTTATGTGGTGTGTCATGTTTATCAATTTGTGGATATTGTACCAACCTTGCATCCCCAGAAGAAATCCCACTCGATCATGGTGCATGATCTTCTTAATTATTGCTGGATCAATTGCTAATGTTTTGTTGAGGATTGTAACATCTATGTTCATCAGGGATATCCTATGTAATAAAAGGCTAATATATACAAATGGAACAACGGAACAACCGGTTGCTATGACATGCTCTGACCACCAGGGGGAAGACGCTCAATGCAGGATCTGCGCCCTGGTGGTCGATGCACTCCCACGGGGAGTGCTGCTCATCCAGAAGCGGGGCTCACGGCTGGCGAGCGCAGGGGTGGTGGTGGGAGCCTCTCCCACCTCCGCGGCAGCACTAAGGATGTCTGACTGCCATCTTAGGTCTGCTCCCCGCATAAGCCAGCAGTCGGACATCCCCCGAGGGCTCCCGGATTGTGAGAGGGCACAGGCTGGGTTGAGGGCCCCTACCCTACCCCACTCCCTCCCGCAGTGCACAAATTTCGTGCAACAGGCCTCTAGTTGGTCTATAATTTTCTTTCTTTGTAGTGTCTTTATCCAGTTTTGGAATTAGGATAATCTAGCCTCATAAAATGAGCTTGGGAGTCTTCCTTCATCTTGAATTTTTTGGAAGAGTTTGAAAAGGATAGCTGTTAGTTCTTCTCTAAATGTTTGGTAAAATTCACCTGTGAAGCCATCTAGTTCAGGGCTTTTGTTTTGGGGAGTTCTGTGATTACTGTTTCAATTTCACTAGTTGTGATCTGTCTATTCAGATTCTCTGATTCTTCCTAATTCCGTTTTGGAAGGTGGTATGTTTCTAGGAATTTATCCATTTCATCCAGATTGTCCAATTTGTTGGAATATAGTTGTTTATAATAATTTCTTACAAGCCCTTGTATTTGTTTGGTGTCAGGTTGCTACTTCTTTCATATCTCATTTTATTTATTTAAATCCTCTTTCTTTTTCTGTTGATGAGTCTGGTTAAAGGTTTGTCAATTTTGTTTATCCTTTCAAAGAACCAGCTCTTGGTTTCATTGATCTTTGTATTGTTTTTTTAAAACACTATTTAGTTAATTTCTGCGCTGGTCTTTATCATTTCCTTTTAGTCACTTTGTTTGTTGTTCTTTTTCAAGTTCCTTTAAGTGTCAAGTTTGATTGGTGACTTGAGCTTTTTCTTGTTTCTTGAGATAGGCCTGAAATGCCATGAATGTCCTTCTTAGGACTGCTTGCCTTTTGACCCACAGAGGTTGGGTTGTTGTGTCCTAATTTTCATTCATTTCAAGGTATCGTTTGATTTTTTTTCCCTTGATCTCATTGTTAATCCATTCATTGTTTAGTAACATGTTATTTACCCTCCATATCTTTGTGTGTTTTTCAATTTTGTGGGGGTTTTTTGTGATTGATTTATAGTTTCATAGCATTATGGTCAGAGAAGATGCTTGATATGAATTCACTCTTCTTAAATTTATTGAGACTTGCTTTGTTTTCTAAAATGTGGTCTGAAGATACCAATTAAATCTAGTGTGTCATTTAAGGCTGCCTTCTCCTTGTTGATTTCCTGTCTGGAAGGTCTATCCATTGATGTCAACTGAGTGTTAAAGTCACCTCCAATAACTGTATTACTTTCAGTCTCTCCCTTTATGTCCATCAAGATTTGCTTTCATATTTAGGTGCTCCTATGTTGGGTACATAAATGTTTATAAGGGTTGTATGCTCTTGTTGTATTTCTCCCTTTATCATTATGTATTGTCCTTTGTATCTTACTATAGCCTTGGTTTTAAAGTCTATTTTGTCAGATATAGGTATTGCTATACCAGCTTTTCATTTGCATGAATTTCCTTTTTCCATCTCTTTACTTATAGTCTGTGTGTATCTTTCATTCTAAGGTGGGTCTCTTGAAGACATCATATATATGGGTCTTGTTCAGAGATCTCCCTGTGGATATGCTTCTGGTGAAGCTTATTGGATCCTGCTATGTTGTCTGAAACTGTCCACTGGGTGTATTGTTTCTCAGCCTCTTTTGAGGGACTCTGTTGCCGGCCAGTGTCAGACACTGACTGGCCCTGGGCAATTTGTTTGGAGCTATCAGTGATCCACAGCTTGTGGCTCCCTCTGCTGGGTGGGCCTGGGTGCATGTGGAAAGGACAAGCTATGCACCAAGGCTGGCTTTTATCAGCACTGGGCCTGAGAGCAAGTCAGAAAAAGCCTCAAGGCACCCAGAGATCTGCCTCCACATGCAGGCTCCTGTTAGGCTTAATCACTAAAAGAACCTTCAACTGTATTCCTCAGCAGGGCTAGAGCTCCACAGGGTGGGGTGAGAGGCATTTCAGTGGGTGGGGCTATTGCTTCCCCCCAGGCTGATGCTGCATGGAGGGGAATGCTCTGCCTGAGAAAGATGGCTTCTGCAGTATGGGAGAATAACTCAGCACAGGGATCCTGGTGGCTGACCCTACAGCTCGCTCCTCAGAGCCACCAACTCCATGCTTTCCGCACGTGGCTCTAATCTGCTCTGCCCTCCCTCTGTCAGAGCCCAGGATGAGTGGCTGGGAACAAAATTTTGTGCATTGGCACCTTTAAGAGGTGCCTGCATCTCTAACCATCTCTCTCTGGTGGACAGAAACCCAATTGCTTTTCATAGACAGATGCTATTGGGCACCTTTTCCAGTTCTGGTTCTCTAGGCTGCAGAGCCCATCTTGGGGTTTAGATACCACACTTCTCAAGGGGAACCTCCTGCAGCTGAGATATCCCTCCGAAACTTCAGCCGCCATCCGTGGGAGCCCGGCCAACCCTCTTGTGCCTCTGCACTTCCTGCCAGACTTGGTGTGGCTTCTTCTGTATATAAGGCTTCTCTCCAGCTAGTTTTCCATTGATTCAGAATGGTTTTTCTATAATTTAATTTTAATTCCAGTTTGGTCCTGGGAAGAGGTGAGTGTAGCTTCCACCTAATCTGCTGCCATCTTGTATCTCAAGGATCTTTTTTTTTTTTAATGCATCCAATCCATTGAAGAAAGATTGCTTTTGTAAAATTCAATAAACATGAATTCTAGAAAAATGACCCCGTGCTTGGATGTTGCATCCATGTCACATTGCTCTAAGTTTTAAATATGCTCGGGTCTTATCTCCTTACAGCAGTGCTTTAATGGCCTCCAACTCCAGCTCTGCCTCCCAGGTTATGATCTCAATGCTCAGGACCTCAGACCCCCTCCCTTACTTCCAGGGCTGGTGGGACCTCTTCTGCCCATATATATTGCTCTACATCTGAGGGTGGCCAGGGAAGCTGGATGGTGCCTGACCTGGAGAGGAAAGGAGGAAAGGCTATGGTTAGGGCACCTACATTTTTACTCTTCCTTTAGGCTCCCAAAATATTAAAGGTGGTCCACTGAACGCATACAGCTTTAATTGTGTGAGACTCAGCAAGAGCAGAGTTTTATTTGTTTGTTAACAGCTTTATTGAGATATAATTGACTTTACATATTTAATTATATGATCTTTAAAGTTATGACACACATAATATGCAGGAAATGATTACCACAATCAAGATAGTGAATATGTCCAGCCACAATAGATTAGTTTACAGTCTTTAGAGTTTTATATAGACGCATCCATATAATAGATAATATTATGTCTTCTTTCAGTAGGCATAATTGTTTTTACATTCATTCATGTTGTTGCAAGTTTCAGTAGTCATTCTTTTAAATTGCTGAGTAGTATTTAAGGTATATGGCTATACCTTAAATTGTTTATTCATTCACCATATTTTTCCCATTGTTTCCAGCTTTACTGATATACTAGGGGCCCAGTGCACAAATTCATGCACCTTGAAAGGAACTGTGGGCCACGAGGCTGCGGTAGGCACAGGGGTGGGTCTTGGCCATCCCCCGTGCCCCCGCCCAGCCCCTCCCGCCTCAGCCCCTGGTCCCCTGTCTGCTGGCAGCCCCACTCCTGCTGCCACTGCTCCCACACACTGACAGTGCCAGCCCTGTTCGCACCCACTGAGGGCATGGAGCGATTGAGGTCGGCACCAGCAGCAGGTGCGAGCAGGGCCAGCACCATCACAGGGGTGGGTCTTGGCCATCCCCCGTGCCCCCGCCCAGCCCCTCCCGCCTCAGCCCCTGGTCCCCTGTCTGCTGGCAGCCCCACTCCTGCTGCCACTGCTCCCACACACTGACAGTGCCAGCCCTGTTCGCACCCACTGAGG